GAAAGAAAAGGAAAACTAATCAATGCAATACAAACAAATCCAGCTCATGAGTGGAATATTTCTACGAGAATTGATATTTTATTCACAATGGAAACGATATTTATTTTTTATTAACAGTAAATGGGATGACTGATGAGGAAAGAGAGATGAAGATGTTAAACCAGGTATTCACTGTACTAAACAACACATGAATCTAGACATGAATATTTTATCGTCAAACATACATAAGATCAGTCAATTTTAGTACTTTAATTTTAAAATTTTATATAATTTTGCACCAGGACCTCGCGCATTAAGGGTTAGGGTTCGATTTTCTCATCTCAAAAAATTGTAATTTTATTTTTAAAAATATTTATATAATTTTAGTTCTAATTTTTTGTATACTTTTTTTATTTTTGAATTATAAAAAAATATATTTTTTAAATTTTTTATTAATTAATTTATTAAATTTATTTAAATATATATTTTTAATAATTTAATTTATAATAAATGTACATTTTTAGTCTTTCAACTTAAAAATTTAAGGACTAAATATATATAATCAAATTTAACAAATTTATTAATAAAAAAATTAAAAATTATATTTTTTATAATTAAGAGATAAAATATATATAAAATATTTAATAAACAAAAATTATACAGAATCTGAGAGATTAAAATTAACGTTTTAACATAACTATAATTTGCCCAAATAAAAGTTTAAATGAGTTGAATCCAGTCGTAAACTATTCAGGTTAGTGCTCCAACTCTATTCTGTCGAGTTCGGACTCAACTCGAGATTTATCGAGTTTATTAAAGTTGAACTCAAATTCAAACTTGACTTAAATGGAGCGACCTCCATTAATTTACCGAGCTCGAGCTCAATTAAGTATGATTATTGTTATATATGACATTTTAATTAAAATTAAGCAGCTTACTCAATTTATAAGTTCAAAAACCCTTTTTCTTTATTGTTACTTAATTTAGGGCGGTTAGGTTACGTAAATTACAATTATAATCTAATTTAAAATATAAAATTAATTATAATTATAAAATATTTATATATTTAAAATTTATTTTTAATATATTATTTTTTAAAGTTAAATGAGTAGCTGCCAGCTACTCGCGAGCTCAACCACTCAAGCTAGGGCTTGGTCTCAATAAAATATCGAGTTTGATTGCAAGCTCAAAATTGACTCATCTAAACAAAGTTTTATTTACGAACAGGTC